GCAATGGCTTGATTTGCGGGTAAAGTCCACGGAGTGGTCGTCCAAATGAGGGCTGATATGTCGCTGTATTTCTCAAGAATAGGAGGAACTGTTGATAACTTAAATTTAACGTAAACTGATTTCGAGATGTGTTGTTCATTATATTGAAGCTCCGCTTCTGCCAGAGCTGTCCGTCCGGTCGGAGACCAATAGACGGGTGAATGCGAGCGATAAATAAGACCGCTATCTAATAGTGTCTCAAATGCTTTCAATTGGTTTCCGATATAATTTGAATTAAATGTGAGATAAGGATTATCCCAATCGCCGATTATATCCCAATTTTTAAACCATCTCTTATGCTCTTCGATCACATTTAAGGCCAATTGTTTGGCTTTATTTCGGATTTCAATTGGATTTGAAATGTTTGAGTCTTTGGAGAGAGCCTTGAGTTCAATGGGGAGTCCGTGACAGTCCCAACCCGGGAGGTACGACACCTCAAACCCCGACAACAGTTTGCGCCGACATATAATGTCTTTGAGGAACTGATGGCAAGAAAAAAGGCATTGAAAAGTGATTGACAAAAGACATGATTGAAAAAAGCAATCACTTTATTGATGGCGTGACCGAAATGAAGGGATCCGTTAGCATAAGGCGGGCCGTCGTGTAACACAAACCCTCCCTTATGTCCACTCTGTGTGTCCCGTAAGCGACAAAACATGTCAACTGAGATATCCTAAGAAATTAACCATTTTTTAATAAATAGCAAGAAATGCAAACAAATATTGAATACATTATTAGTTTCGAGACTTCGGGAGTGTTTGACCAGAAAATTACTTTTGGGTAATAAAATAGTTTCCGAGTATTTGTCACTAAATTTCACTTTTTTCTCCTTTTTATTCACTTTTTTATTAACATTTTGTTTGTTAAAAGTGTGACAAAAACTAACTCTCGTTTGAATACATTTTAATAAATTGAAACTCAAGTGTTTCTCATGTCTTAAACACAAATACATTTCCAATTCATATGAATTAATGTTTATTTAAATTGATTTTCAATTTTCTTCAAATAATTTTCATGTTTTGCTACAAAAATAAAAATAACATCACATGCTTATCACGTGGTCTCTTCTCAACCAATCACATCATCGTATTGTTTATATTATGTTTTAAGCGCTAAATATAAATTTATTAAATTATGTACAATAATTAATGTTAAATTAAATGTAGCATAATTTAATCATGGTAACTTTTTTTAAATATAAAAATGAGCTAGTATTAATGTTTATATGATATGTTAACAATTGTAAATATAAAGTATATTGATAAATTTAATTAATTATATCAACATTAGTATATTTACAATATATTGTTTAAAAATCTAACATTCATTTGAATTTAAACTAAATTATTATTCTGTTATAAATTAAAATTTTATTACAAATAATTATTTTGGTTACAAAAAATCAGATAATGTTTTAATTGGTGTTTTTGTGCCATTAGATTGTCTCAAATGGTTAAGAATGAGCCGATTTTTATATTTAAATATAGATTACATGGTTTTGAAATATGCTTTATTTGACTCGTCTGTAGTTGTGATCTATTTATTCAGGTCTGCAGACAACAAATCCACTATTATTTTGGTTTTAATATTTTAAATTTCTAAATGCTTTTTATTTAATTCATATTTTATAACATAATCTAAAAATATATTAATATATTATGAATATTATTCTGTCATTTATTTGACTTTTATTTATTAAAATATATTAAAAGAGCACAAATTAAAACGTACTAATTAAAAATTAATATCATTAAGAAATTTAAATTAGAAATTTTTATAATAATATATGAAATAATTAAAAATATTTGTTAAATCATATAAAAGTTTCTTTTCAAATATTAGTTAACAATGTTATATTCATTAAAATGAATAAAACATTAATGCTTTGATAGCAAAAGAGTAGGAATCTATGAAATATAGTACGAATACTATTGAATAACAGGACCAGAAAACGTCACTCAAGTCTATAACAATTTAAAAGCGATTGAAATCCAGAAATAGTGTCATTCAGTCATTTAAACCACTATTTCTTAAGACAATGAGAGCGCATGTCTTCCTCGAAATCTATTTTAAAATTCTGATCTCAAGAATCAGTTGTGAATCCATTCTTTCGTGTGAGAGGTTCTAATAGTGAGAGTTGTTTGCGAGAAGTTTGAGAAAGTCTTCGCTTAGTTTCAATTATTAATCAAACTTTTATAAGAAATGGTAAATTGTTTTATTGTTTCATTATTTTATAACTTAAATGACCATTCAATTTGTTTTTATGTTCAAAATTATGGCGATAATAGGCAGACCTGAAACCACCGGAAGTTGAGAGTAAGTAATAAGTTGTTGTTCTGTATGATAATTTACACAATATTTGATTTTTTCGTAATTTTAACTTTTTATTCAAAACAATTATTTTTATTAAATATACAAACGGAATGTATAATTATATAATTGTATTGTTTTATCCTTTTATCAATTATTTGTGTCCATAAATTAAAATATGTGTCAATTTGTTTTAATTTTTGGATCAAATATTTTCAAATCCGCAAATGTCCTGATTCTGTGCCTTTTGTTGGCAAATACTATACAATTACTGTACAGTATATAACAGTAACCGAAAGAAATGCCAAATCTTTTTCACTCACTTAAAACACAGAATATAATGATTGCTATATATCGTTAGGAAACACTCTTTCCTCTCAACGTTAACTCCAGTTTTGCTTCAAATTTATTTTTAGATCATTTTTTCTAACTAGCATTCAATACCTAATTAGGAAGAGTCGTACACAATATGCTAGTTATTTATATTTAATGTTTACTGTATTGAATGCTTTAGATTTATTTAACTTATTTTAACTTAATAACTCTATAACTGTTTATTAAGCATTCAATACCTAATTAGGAAGAGTCGTACACAATATGCTAGTTATTTATATTTAATGTTTACTGTATTGAATGCTTTAGATTTATTTAACTTGTTTTAACTTAACAACTCTATAACTGTTTATTTTGACAAAGAATTACAAGTTAAATATATTTAAATCATATTCTTTATAATAAATCAATAGTTAATTTTATCACAAAAACTCAATGCGAAAAATATACAAGAAATTAATACATTTATATAATATTGGACTGAACTTGTTAAAATATTTTATACTAAACCCTAAATTATATAAATTGTCAATAAAATGTTGCTTCAAAAACAATATAAAAATGAACAAACAATGTATTATTGAATATAACAATTAATTAATAAATTATATACAAATTAATTTAGAGGCGAGGCTTCACTTTGATATCTATGATTTTGAGGGCGAAGCGAAAGTGGATTATGTAAATTTGGGAGATATCCTCAGATCACTAGATCTGCGCCCGACTCTAGCCATGATTGAGAAGAGCGGCGGAACCAAGAAGAAGGGTTTGTACCCATTATATCACATAATGTTTGCTTTATTCTAAACAATTGCGTAAAATAATAGGCGAGAAAAAGATGACATTTGTTCTTAAGGAAGGCTAAATATCAGTTTATTTCTTTCTCTTTCTTCAGCCTCGAAAGCTCCTGAAATACCTCCCTAATTTTCACATGCTGTTCCGTCTCTTGCCTTGGTACAACCGGCCGCTCAACCGACACGTACTCCTCTCCTTAGGTACGACCACCAGTTCATCACAATTCATTCAAAATCTATGATCAATTTTATCACATATTTATTGCATAATTAATGCATTATTTAGGAGAGAAATTAAATGATCCGGAAGTGGAAGAAATCTTGAAAACCTGTGCCGGTCAGGAAGACGAGGACGGGTTCATCAAATACGAGGGTATGTATTGATTTAATTAAACATAAGTTGTTTGAAATGCTTTTTATTAATGCGGCTATTATTTGATTACAAAATGATTATAGCATTTATTCGCTCCGTAATGACCGGTCCTTTCCCCGAAGAAGCGAAGTAAACTCACCACAAAAAAAACACCAAAAATCCAATTAATTACAACTTTAAATTCTATACATGAATATATTTCCATTTGATTTGTTAAAAAGGTTAAATTTATTTCAACCTTTCCCCGAAGAAGCGAAGTAAACTCACCACAAAAAAAACACCAAAAATCCAATTAATTACAACTTTAAATTCTATACATGAATATATTTCCATTTGATTTGTTAAAAAGGTTAATAAATAAAGTTTAGTGGCCTTTCTTTTTGGTTTGTAAAATAATTATTAAATTTATAAATTATTGACAATTTTTATAGCAAATTTTTGAATTTATAAATTGAAGATAATATTTTAATCTAGATTTTTCCTTAAATTGTATAACTATTTTCAGAGCAATTTTATCCCATCTATACTTCTGAACATTGAAATAATGTATTCTACGAACAAAAAGATTTTGAAATAAAGTTAACAACAAAAATCAAGTATCAGATTATTTAAAATACTATAAAATATAATACTGTATTAATATTAAACATGTAATAAAATTGTTGGTTAACTCATTAGCCAATGGATTAGGAGTTTAGTAGAAATCGATCACAAACTTGCATATTATGATCGGAATTGTGTTCATTTGGATTCATCACACATTTTGTAGCATTTATTTCGGAATCAGAATTAATGACATGAGAATCGCTGCTATTCTTCGAGACTAACTCCGGGACGACAAACAGCACAGACTTTCGCCGCAATTTCTGTCTATACCTTCCAGACCTCGAGACAGACATATTTCTGGTCACAGGGTTTCTATGAGTTGTATCATTAGATTTATAATTGACATCATCTGAACGGATCTCGTCATCACTTTTCTGTAATCCAATAGAAGAGGATTTCTTCTTAAGTGAAACACAATTTGATATTTCGGTGACATTTCTTTCTCCACATTTTTTCTCTCCGTTTATAATAATATTACAGAATTTACTCCAAAATGACATAATATAGACATAAATATTTAAATACAAATTTTAAACAAACTACAATCTATTGATAAGAAAGCGTTGAATATATTTGAAAGTAATTGAGAGTTGGGTAGAAGTGTTGAACAAAAGTAAAACTATATAACTTTGATATAACTTGACGTTGAATATGATTTAAACGGATATATTTGTGTTAATATCAATAGTCGATGAGTTAAGCATTCAATTCATTATCAAATGATATTGTACTGTGTGTTGAATAGTGAAGTGACCCAACAGTGCCAATCAATATAGTAGTTCATTAAACTGACCCAGCACATTATTGCATATCACACTATTGCATGTATTGTTAAAATGTTATTGAAATATGACATAAAATGTCATTGAATGTAAAAATGTCGATAATATGAGACAATAATAGACTAAATGTATAGAAAGACATGAATTAATATGATTTGAAGCAAAACCAAAGCCATATTAGAGGCCAAATGAGAGTAAACCACTGAATGTCACATCAAAAGCCCAACTGCTGAGCGTTACGATTGGACCCTTTAAGTGATGCCCACATTTAATTGAATGCATATTTTAATATAAAATTAATGATATTTTTCATACAGAATACGTGAAAACCTGTATTATCGGTGCTTATATGCCGTATATATCAGTTTCCGTTATGTCTATAGTTTGACAAAACAATTCAATACAACAGAAAAGTTATACCCGTTATCATGAATAGGGAGAGAGAGAATGGGACTAAAAACTATATAAACTATAATATGCTTTCTGATTATGACTTTGAAAATGATTTGCANAAGAATTCCTTCCGATTTATAGTCAAATAAAGAAAGAGAAAGAAGTCGGAGCTTTCGAGGACTTTATGGAGGGATTAAAAGTGTACGACAAGGCAGAGAACGGAACCATGTTGGCCGGCGAGTTGGCTCACGTACTCCTCTCCTTAGGTACGAACACGACTTTATCACAATTCATTCAATTATCAATTATATCGTATATTCATTGCATAATTAATTCATTATTTAGGAGAGAAATTAAATGATCCGGAAGTGGAAGAAATCTTGAAAACCTGTGCCGGTCAGGAAGACGAGGACGGGTTCATCAAATACGAGGGTATTTATCGATTTAATTAAACATAAGTTGTTTGAAATGCTTTTTATTAATGCGGCTATTATTTGATTACAAAATGATTATAGCGTTTATTCGCTCCGTAATGACCGGCCCTTTCCCCGAAGAAGCGAAGTAAACTCACCACAAAAAAAACACCAAAAATCCAATTAATTACAACTTTAAATTCTATACATGAATATATTTCCATTTGATTTGTTAAAAAGGTTAAATTTATTTCAAATCACCGGAAAGAAAAACCAAACATTTTATTAATAATTTAAATATTTAATAACTGTTAAAAATATCGTTTAAAAACTTAAATATTTAACTTCTATTATAAAATTAGATCTAAAAAGTTTAAATTGTATAACTATTTTCAGAGCAATTTTATCCCATCTATACTTCTGAACATTGAAATAATGTATTCTATGAACAAAAAGATTTTGAAATAAAGTTAACAACAAATATCAAGTATCAAATTATTTAAAATATTATAAAAATATAATACTGTATTAATATTAAACATATAATAAAATTGTTGGTTAACTCATTAGCCAATGGATTAGGAGTTTAGTAGAAATCGATCACAAACTTGCATATTATGATCGGAATTGTGTTCATTTGTATTTATCACACATTTTGTAGCATTTATTTCGGAGACTTCTCTGTCATCAGAATTAATGACATGAGAATCGCTGCTATTCTTCGAGACTAACTCCGGGACGACAAACAGCACAGACTTTCGCCTCAATTTCTGTCTATACCTTCCAGACCTCGAGACAGACATATTTCTGGTCACAGGGTTTCTATGAGTTGTATCATTAGATTTATAATTGCAATCATCTGAACGCATCTCGTTATCACTTTTCTGTAATCCAATAGAAGATGATTTCTTCTTAAGTGAAACACAATTTGATATTTCGGTGACATTTCTTTCTCCACATTTTTTCTCTCCGTTTATAACAATATTACAGAATTTACTCCAAAATGACATAATATAGACATAAATATTTAAACACAAATTTTAAACAAACTAAAATCTATTGATAAGAAAGCGTTGAATATATTTGAAAGTAATTGAGAGTTGAGTAGAAGTGTTGAACAAAAGTAAAACTATATAACTTTGATATAACTTGACGTTGAATATGATTTAAACGGATATATTTGTGTTAATATCAATAGTCGATGAGTTAGGCATTCAATTCATTATCAAATGATATTGTACTGTGTGTTGAATAGTGAAGTGACCCAACAGTGCCAATCAATATAGTAGTTCATTAAACTGACCCAGCACATTATTGCATATCACACTATTGCATGTATTGTTAAAATGTTATTGAAATATGACATAAAATGTCATTGAATGTAAAAATGTCGATAATATGAGACAATAATAGACTAAATATATAGAAAGACATGAATTAATATGATTTGAAGCAAAACCAAAACCATATTAGAGGCCAAATGAGAGTAAACCACTGAATGTCACATCAAAAGCCCAACTGTTGAGCGTTACGATTGGACCCTTTAAGTGATGCCCACATTTAATTGAATGCATATTTTAATATAAAATTAATGATATTTTTCATACAGAATACGTGAAAACCTGTATTATCGGTGCTTATATGCCGTATATATCAGTTTCCGTTATGTCTATAGTTTGACAAAACAATTCAATACAACAGAAAAGTTATACCCGTTATCATGAATAGGGAGAGAGAGAATGGGACTAAAAACTATATAAACTATAATATGCTTTTTGATTATGACTTTGAAAATGATTTGCATAACAATAGAGTCGGTGAGCCTTTAAATGCTGGATCAGTTGGATTTGTTGAACTCAAATAAAACGCCGCTCTTATTAGTTAGTCAACCATTGATACAGTGTATGATTCAAACCATACTTTTACCATACATTGCGTGCATTCAATGGTGAGTTGTATTGAGACAACTGGTAATGTGTTTCCAATGCCGCGCTTCAAGTGTTTCAATCACTTTCATTGACTGCATTGACTGCAAGTGTAGACCAAAGCAAAGCATTCATACAGTTATCAACACTAATGCAATACAACTGCAAATGTATTCACTCTATGAGTGATATTGCGCTCAATGTGTGCCATCACTTGTCATCACATCCACCACAACAACAACAAGCATCACATCTTCTACTTAAATGTCACACAACCATCGCTGACCAGCACTGACCACACCATTGGATCCAATGGCAGCTCATATGGCACTCGAGAGACCCAAACCTAATTACTATAGACAAGAAATACGGTATCAATTGAACCAAAGAGACCAAACGGAGACCACTTCTAACGACTTGCATATATGGAAACATTACCGTAAGTTGGGATCAATTTCGGTGACCAATCATATGATGTGAATTAATTGAGATGTAATGTCATGTCATAGTGTATGAACTGCAGCAGAAGGCGCCCACTCCTAAGCGAGTCCTCTGTCATCGGGATGTGTCTCATAAACCGCCACATTATGGCAGAGAGTATGTCATAACCCAAAGACCAGTTGATGCGATCAATTGATGGATCAATTTATTTGTATGAATAGATTTCACGGCGTTTTGTCGCGCGAAGAAGCGGAACGAATGCTTACCGAAGAGGGAGAAGACGGTCGATATCTGGTGCGGGAGAGTCTCCGAAATAGGGGTCAAATGACGCTGAGTTTGCGGTTTAATGGGATCACCAAAAACTTCCGCCTCTATTACTCGGGACAGCACTTTGTGGGCGACAAAAGGTTTGACACAATCCATGATTTGGTGGCCGACGGACTCATCACTCTCTTCATGGAACTGCACGCCAAAGAATATATCGAGAATATAAGCAATGGTTGCACTTATGAAGAATCTCCTTATATGACACTCTATAAGAAGAAGAATAAGAAATCACAACAGAGTAAAGCCAAAGGCAAGGCATCGGATGCCATGCAATTGAAGAGACTGTCCACCTATGAGGAAGAGAACGACGCCGACAGCAGTTACGGCACCGACAGTGCGTCCATTGATGTCCAACAGTTTGAAAAGGTGCACAATTTTAAGACACATAACTTTATGGGCTCACCATGGTGCGATTTCTGCGGCAATTTCATATGGGGTATCATTGGACAGGGAGTCAAGTGCGAGGACTGCGGGTTTGTCACCACTAAATGAATTGCGTTAATAAGTTATTAAGTGTTAATTAATGTTTTGTCATAGATTTGGTGCTCATCGCAAGTGCTCCGAGAAAGTACCCAACGATTGCAGGTATGAGTTGTTTAATCTTATGGTTTGTTTTAATTTACTTAATTTGTTATTGACTTACATTTTAGTCCCGATTTACGTCACATCCGAAGAATATTTGGCGTTGATTTGACCACTTTTGTAAAGGCCAGTAATAATGTCCGACCCTTTGTTGTGGACCTCTGTGTCAAAGAAGTCGAGAGAAGAGGTGATTTGATCTGAATTTGTGTTTAAATGTTACCATTTGTTTAATTCAAATTGATTTCATGGATCCGTTGTAAGGCATGAATGTCGAGGGTTTATATCGAGTGTCGGGCTCTGCCGATGAGATCGAGGCTTTAAAGTGCAGATTTGAGAGCGATTGGGAACAAACAGAGCTCTACTTCAAGTCATTCGAAGACATTCACGTAATAACCGGTGTTTTGAAGCTATACTTCCGATCGCTTCCCATTCCATTGATTACATTTGATTCGTACCCGAAGTTTATTTCAGCCATAAGTGAGTTCATCGACTATTTTTATTTGATTGATAATCGATTAACTGATGTTATATTTACGACGATTAGAGAAAAGTAATTGTGAACAACGATTGAGTGCAATGAAAGAGGCCGTCAATGGGTTACCGCCGGCCAACTACCAGACCTTGAAATTCTTTGTCTCACATCTCTATAAGTAAATCAATACTTAATTTCTGTTTAAGTGATAATCCAATTAAAGCGAAATGTTTTCTATATAGAGTGACCACATATGAGGGCAAGAATCTGATGTCAGCCAAGAATTTGAGTCTAATATTTGGTCAGACATTACTCCATACGCCAAACATTCCGATGCTTTTCCAAGTGAACTGTTGGCAAAACGAGAGCGATGTGATCGAGACTCTCATCGTATTTCATTCCAAACTATTCCATAAGTAGTGACACCACAGGTGCTAATCAGTGCTCAAACAGCGCTAATCCATACTAATTCTGGTGCATCTAGTCTTCAAAATACTAAAATAAAATGAAAACTTCGACTCTTTTCTAGTTATCCGATTTGTGCCAACTTTTGCTCACATTTTGTTTGATTTTTTATTACGAGATTTTATTGTTTTAAACATTTTTATTGCAATTTTATATTTCATTATTTTCTAACTTAAGGAAAGTCAGTATTTATTAAAGAATTTCTAAGGAATTTAATATATTATACGATTAATAAGTTATTAACAATTAATACCTGTATTTACTATACCCTATATTACGATTATTTTACATTATTTGTATCCAATTATACCGTAATCATTGTTTTTATATTTCAAGTTTAAGAAATTATTGTATTCATTGATTATAAATATTAAAAATTTTAAATAAATTGTTTTGTAAATACAGTACATGTTTGTACAAAACTGTGCTTGTTATAATTGGTTACCAGAGATTATGAAAATATAATTTATAATCAAATTGATAATGATTTGAGTACTTTTAAGAAGCAGTACACCAGCATCTGTACAATTCTGTGAACCTATTCTAACACACATTACATTAGATGTATTCGAGTCTCAATATCTGCAGAGTATATAATGAAAAATAATTAGATGTTTGATAAATGTTATAAATGAAATCTCTTTAAGGTTTAATGCATTGTATATGTTGTGTAATAACGACTTTTGTTATAAGTCATTAAGAATAAAGTCGGTATAAGTAGTGAGGTTTAGTGTTTGGGTTATGGCATAAGCTATAAGACTACAAATTCCTAATAGAAAGGATTATAACATAAGGTATATGTTTCGCCATCTCATAACCCGTTATAATGTGTCAAAAATATGAATTATTTGTAAATTATAGGATTACAAAAATTCTTTCGCACTTAAATGAAAATATTTCACAGATAAATAAAATTAATATTTACTATTTTAATTGGCAACTAATCCAACCATTCGTATCATACAGTTGTATAATATTCATCCATCAACTCACAGAATTCTCTCTCTCTCTCTCTCTCTCTCTCTCTCGTCTTTCATCTCTAGAATATGTGATATTTAAAAGTATTCAAAAATGCTTAAAAATCAACAAATGGTCCAAAAGTAACAAAAAGATGGTCTCATGTAATAAATTACTCAAATGTTTTCTCACAAATCTAATTATAGATGTGTTTTAGAGTCAGACTCTATTTGGTTTTGAGAAACTCTTTCACATTAAACACAAGATTCAAGTATTCAAACGCTTATTATTTATATAAGTTGGTGAAAATTACATTGAAATTAAGTGATTAAAAAGTATCCAGGTATTGTTATATTAACATTTTATTATATTTAAAACTGACATTTTTATATTTTATTAAATAGACTAACATAACAAATATTTAATAACATCTATAACAGATATTATAATTTGAGCATTTAACATAATTTTATAACTATATAATTAGTTCTAATTTAAAATTTAAAATAAATATTTATTAAATTAAGGTTGATATTCAGCAGTCATATGAAAATGATAAAAATTTAATCATTTAAATATTAAAACGATTAAATAAGTTAATGGTGTGTATCTTTATTTGTTTACAATATTTAAAATGATTTATATAATTGTTAGATTATCGTTAGTGATCTTTAATATATTCACTATATTATACTAACAAATGATTATTAGTAAATAAACTAAAATATTCAGATTTATCCTATTTTTAATTTATAATACTTTATTTATACATAATTGTATATTTTAATTGAAAAATAATGATCTTAATAAACATATAAAAAGAAGATAGAACTTTATTTATAAAATTAAAAGTTTTGCTTAAATTATTGCTAAATTTATGAATAAAAAACAAAGCAAAATTATTTTCTTGATATAAAATCATAAATATAGCCACAAATAAGTTTCTCAATAAAAAATTAAAGAGAAAAAATGAAGTATAAGTAAACGTTGACTTTAATGGCATTCACTATATTTTATAATTTCCTTAACAGTGAGAGATTGCCATAAAATTGTGTAAAAGAATTGTCCGGATGTGATGTTCGCACAAATTCTTGATTTTCAGTTAACTCTTTGTCTGTTTTGAACATTGCTTGTAAACACTCATATTCTCTATTAGATGCTATTAAAAGCCCAGTTTATGCTGACTTATATAATGTACTGCACAGTACATGTGATTTAACAACTAATGTCCTTTAATATTAGGTATTATTTATAAGTAATTTAAATATTTAATGAATTCCAAGAATATTTAACAAATTACACGATAGAAAAAGTAAAAGAAAATATTTATAACATCTAATGAAACAATTTGTATTTGTCAATACTGTATAAATAATCATTATAAAGATTTATATTACATAATCATCAAGATTATTTTAATGTAAAATTATTTTATATTTAACTGACATTGTATTTAAATATATTTTGCAGATATTTATAACACCATTGATAATGACTTTACGACAGAAGCATTTATTTACTTATTTAAATTTTTGGGGTAATCATACCATTGATATAAAAGTAATATATTATTTATATATTCTTGACTTTAATTGTGGATTATTTGATGAACAACTCATCGGTCCGTAAAGATGCCAATAATGAGGGAATCCTTTCGTGGAATAGTTTTCAGACATTAGCGGAAAAATACGCTAAAATTCAAAGAAGAGGAAAATTAGAGAAAGAAGTGGTCGATCGATGGAAAGCCATATTCGAGAAGTGGTGGAATGAATTGACTTCTTATGCCGACGAAAATAAAGTGTGTTTTTTACGTTAAATTAATAATATTACCCAAAAATATGGTTTCTATATATTTGTGACAATAATAAGTGATTTTTTTGTTATTTTTCTGTTTGGAGGACACTCTCATCGAATTTGATGAATGGCTTAAATTCTTTGAGTCTTTGGGAAAGAATACTAAAACACATCAAGAATTGCCAGAATTCTTGAAGACATATCTCCACCTATTCTTCTTGTGCAGCGATTACAATAGTTAGCTCTCTCTCTCTCTCTCTCTCTCTCTCTCTCTCTC